AGGTATGGTTACAGAGACCCAGATAGAACTGTGGGAGCTGCCTGCACACAGGACAGTGCCTGAGAGAAATGGCTGCATGGGGATGAAAGGCCTTCCATAGCATCAGTTTCCTGTGCCCAGGGTGGTGGGAAGAATGATTTCTGAGCCGAGTGGATGGGTTTTTGAATGCTCCACAGTTTCTCACAGCCCAGCATGGCACAGGGCAGAGAATGGCTTGCTGGGCACCAGAGAGGAGAGTAGGGAGAAACAAGGGCGAAGATGGGAATGCGGGCTGGGCTGCAGTGAGCTGGCTGGGTGACAGCCAGGACCAGGGGGCATCTCAGTGATGTCGCCGTGGGTAGCCAATGATGTTGACTGGAGGCTCAATGTCCACCACCCCATCCCTTCCTGCTCGGTACTGCTCAACCCCTGGAATCCCAAAACGGCTGAGATGAAGCTTCTGCCCCCTCATCAGCACAAGCTCTCAAAGTAGAAATTCGATTGTGGCATAGAAAAATAAAGTCACATTCTTGCACACAATGAGTGTGGGGTCTGAGATTCAAGGCTGCCTTTTGTATAATATAGAAAAATTCCTTTTGATGAAGTCTGGTCAAGAATGGGTACTTCTCTGTCCTGCAAAGATCGGAATGCCCTTAATCCTAGGCAAATACAAAGAGGGGTTTGTTGAAAAGATACACAAAAATCTCTTAGAAACCAAGCAGAAAAGTATAGCTGGGTCTGAGGGGATTTTGGAAAGTTGGAAATCAAACTTTGTTCACTGTCTTTAAGGAGCTATGTGAGCTCTTTCATCTCTCCCTGTGTGCTTTTCCCTTGCCCTGTCATTCCTAGCTGCTTCTGCCACTCCTGCCTGGGCAGGGTCTGTGACAGCCCTGTCCCAGGCCCCTGCCTGTTCAGTTCCAGCAGCGGCCCACCCCCCTGGTGGAGGAGGCTCCTTTGTGTCTGTCAGTTGGATGGCCACACAGCAAGAATCTGATTGGCTCCCTTTGGTCATGTGTCTACTCCTGGTGCAATCACTGGCTGGCATGCTGGTGGCCAGTCACAGACCACATTCAGAGCAGCAAGGGCAGAGATGCTGTGCTGCACACCTGCAGGGGTCAAAAAGTGCTCTGTGAGTGGCAGCCCTGGATTTGTGTAGTGTGGCTCCTGCATTGCCAGATGCAGTGGTCCTGGCCAAAAGTCCTGCTATCCTGCTTAACACATGTACGAAAGTAGTAGAACTTAGTGTAGTTGCTGTTTGACTTGACTGAAAGTCTTCCTAATGTATGCTGAGTGGCCATGTGAATGCATGGAGCAGGACTTGGGCAGCTGACATCAGCATGTTGAATGATTGTGGGGAAGCAGATGAGGACACCTTGCCTACTTGGGTGTTTCCCCGTTTAGTACTGTGGTTTAGAAAATGGGCTTTGATATTCAACAGACTTGGGTTCCAGTCTCATCTCTGTTTATAAAATGTGACATTGTTCAAGTTACTGATTTCTCTAAGTCTGGGTGTCTTTATCAAAAAAGTGCAAATGAAAATTGCTATAGGGATTCTTCTAAGGTTTAAAAAGCTTCAATGCCTTTAAGGAATTTAGTCCCACGTCTGATGATTCATAAGCATCCAATAAGTGTCAGATGTCATAAATTCTATTATTGGTGAGAATAAACCATATACATTTTACTGTCTTGAAATGTTAATGACCCATTATATGAAAAGCATTTATGTATCTGCATTCAGGATACTATGCATCTGGTTAAAGTCCTTGTAGTTAAAATTAAAATCAGAATCAATGTTATATCAACAGCGACACAAGTAATAATTAGCAACAATTACAATGATGACGATGAAGAAAAACCTGGATAAAATTTTGGCTTAGGCTTAGTGTGGTGTGAGTATGTGTGTTTGTATTATATCTGATTTGGATTTTACTTAAAAATCTTTGTCCAAGTGACTTTTTCCCCCTAGCATCTTGACCCTATTGTGACATCTAACAAGATATAATTTTTTTTCAAGCTACATGTTTCACAAACAAAATATATGTTTATAGCTGACTGTAACCAAGCTGCTAATTATGGACATCTCTTTCTATAGCTCACTATTAATCACTCATGTCTTTGGGGTTATATAAAAAACAATTTATGTTACAAAATCAAATCCTCCCTTAAAAACGTTTGCCCTGGGAGTGAGGAGGGAGGAAATCACAAACTGTTATTATTTTCCCTTAGATGGATCTAAATATTAACATTCCCTTAGCTTTAAAGATTATTTTTATGCCGCTCCTTTATAAACAATTTAAGTACAGTAACTCTTCTGTTGTCTCGGGTTCTGTCTACAGCTTACCCAAACAACTCAGCTAAAAAAATGAACAAATCACTTCAACAGGTTATTTGGCATCATATGTAGAAAATAAAAATGTTTGAATAGCTTAAAAAATTTTAAAAAGCATAGCGTATAGTAAATTAATTTGAATGTTTAAACACAGCCTAAGGATCCCTCACATACAGGAGGGAGTTGCTGTTTCTAGATCTCATTGTAACTGTATTAACTACCTAACTACCAGGACAAAAATAGTTGTGGCAGCAGCACCAGTAGTAGCAGTAACAGTAGTAGTTATAGCAGGAAGAGAAGGAGAGAGAATAAGCTAGTATGATAATAACAGCCGTAGTCAGAGTTGTAATCATAATAGTTAACACCACTTGCAGACATTTAAGCGTTGCATGCACAGTAACTCTTTTAACCCTTATAGCAACCTTAAGAGATAGTACTATTATTTCCCTGTTTTACAGCAGAGGAAACTGAGATTCTGCAAGGTAAAAGTCACTAGGGGAGAAACCAGGAATTGGAGAACAATACTAATGGCTGATGTCGGTCAAATGTTTGTGCTTCTCAGCTCTCAACACAATTACCCCATTGAATCCCCGATGCAAGCTGGGGAGGTGGGGTCCTTATTATCCCCAGTTAACACAGGAGGAACCTGAAGCTTGCAGCCTGGCTGATGAAATAGCAGACAAGGGTTTGAGACCAATGGGTCCAAAGCAAGAACTCCAGTCTTATCTTTCAGTTTGGGGTTCAGGAGTGGTTTCTCGTAGGTTCTGCTCAAACTGACTTGTTGAGGGAGGAGAGATCCTCTAAGCAGAAGCTGCTGTCTCGAGGGGGGGATCTCTGACAGTGGCTCTCTTTCAGCAGAGTTGAGGGTGAGGCTGCTGGCGGGTGAAGTGAATGAAGCACTTGCCTTGGGCACAAAATATCAGGGGACACCAAAAATGCAACCAATGATGAAAATAATATTCGAATGCAACATTTAAAAATATGTAAATATTAAATATTTAAAATAAAAAATATTTTTTATAAATTGAAAATGAATGTGAAAAATTCCATACCTGAACAAAATATTAACTTTTAACATAAAGGCAGGATCAGTATTGTCCTGGGTCACTGGGGAGTCCAGGCGGGCGGGGGAGCCGTGGGCTATCCTCACCCCCACTGGGCCACTTGGCCTTCCCCTGTCTGGCTGTCCACACGGCTGCACACTCTGGCCTCCCGCACAGGGTCACCGTGAAGGGATAAGAGTCTGCGTGGTAGGGCCTCCACAGGCATCGTGTCACCAGAACAATATTCCTTCATTCAGTGCTATTTTAAATACGGAGGATGGCATTTTCCAGTGATATGTTAAAAAAGTTAAACCTCTTCCCCCTCTACCTTTTCTCTCCAGAACCCAACCAAAGGAGTTATTTTAGGAAAAGACAGTCAATGCCTTTCCAATTTTAGATCTTCATTTTGGGCCACTGTTGGTTTCTCTTTTCTTATTTATTACTTGGGGTGGCAACTTAAGAAAACCCTGGCTCTCCTGCAGGCACATCAGCTGGGACATGTGTCCTGCTGATCTCGTCCAAAGGCACTGAGGAATTGTCCAGTCCCAGTGGCCTTGGGCTTTCAGGACGTAGCCCAGCCGTTGTGGTACTGAATATGAATATAGCAGCTTCCCACCCCAGAAGACATTTCATTTATTATTTTAAAAATATTTTCTTTGGGCTCCTTTAATCCTCTGGGACATTTGCTTGATGAATAGCAAATAAGTTCCCCAACCAGACTGTTGTTATAAATATCCACGGTATTAATTCAAACCATTTGCATCGGAAACTTTTTTTTTTTTTCTGGCGGAAAAGAGGTGGCTGATTTAACCTCAACATTTGGGACATGATTTTCCCTAAAATAACTACAACATCCATCATTTTTTTTTCCTGCTGGTGTGTCAATTTTTTTTAATGAGAGGCTGGGTCCCTTCAGTACCTTTGGTCTCCATAGTAACAATTTCATGTGTTTATTCTGGCTTACTGAAATAAAACACTGAGGAAAAGGTCAGTGACTCATTTTTGATTGGGGGTTACTGTAATTAGAGGATGATTATTTAAAATTTGATCACTAACACAAAGATACTATGTGCATAAAAACAAGTTCCACGGCAAGCATTTTACATAACAAATTATAAAACATTTAGACAGTGAGATGTTTCCAAACAATGGCTCTTTCTTCACAGGTGCAGGTGTTTTCAAGATTATTGTTGTTTCATCCATGTATAACCGACCTTGACTTCCTGCCATTCCCTCCCTGGTACCAGGATCTGAGTAATGCATTAAGTAATGGATTAAAGTGTCTGGAATGACTAATGCAGTTATAGCAGTCTATTTGGACCTATGGTATATGCATCTGAGATGAGCTGAATCAATACAATAAAGTCTTTCTCGTGTGGCCACTGGTATCCAGGAGAGGCAGAAACATTGCCCGAGTACCTGTCTTTCCATCTCCTCTGTGACTGCACATTACATTTTGGACCTGTGGGAAGGCAAAAGGGAGCTTGCAGTGCCATATGGTTGTTGCCTTGGCTTGCCACTGTTTGATGTAATAAGTATCATATCTCTCTTTCCTCATCTGCAAAAATGGCAACAGCAGCAGCGTCTGCATCATTGCGTGTTTGAGGGGATTAAATGCCATATCCATGCATAGCGTTCAACAAAGAACAGACTCTTAGTAAGCATCACATAAATGGTGGCTATTATTATTACTTTTTACCTTCATTATTTGATCAGCAACTTGGCCTTTGGACTGAGTTTCTTTACTCTTACAGGAATGGTTCAAAACTAAGGTAAGACTCTGAGTGGCAAGTGAAATTCCCACTTTAGAAAGTGAGAAATCAGTTCAAGCAGATGTGGATATGGCATTCTGTAAAGAACATTTTGTGAGGAGCACTGTCGTCCCTTGGGGCTCTGGGAGGCTCTGTTGTTTCGTGTCTGCCAGCCAAGGGCTGCTTGGTCCTCTTGAGTCCAGGCTCTCATGGACTGGCTCCCAGGACCAAGGGCAGAACTCAGATGGTGGCCCCATGCCCCATCTGCTTGAATCTTGATCAACCAGATTTTTTAAAAATATAAAGTAATGTGGAGTTGGCTGGCAGAATTGGAAGTCAGCTGCACCCTTGTGACCCCATGTTGTGGCCTGACTTTGTATGATTATGCTGCTGCCCAGCCAGGTTCATTTGCCTGCTGCCCAAGAGGAAGCCAATATGCTGAGTCAGCAGGGTTTGTGGCAGAGAAAGAGTTTATTCTGCATAGCGCTAAGCAGGGAGATGAGAGAAATTTCTCAAATCCATCTCCCTGAGAATTTGGAAGACAGGGTTTTTAAAGACAGTGTGGCATAGGCAATTGAATCTGCTAATTGGCTGGGTTTGGGGCATAACCGTAGGGTTGTAGAAATTGTCTTCTTTGCTGACCAGGTTCTTGGGTGGGGCTCATAAGACCAGTTGAGTCAGTTCCTCTGGTCTGGGTGGATCAACCATTCCAATGGAATGCAGGACCTGGAAGATATCTCAGAAACTACCCCTAGGTTGCTAAAAGGTGATATTGTCTATAGAGAAAGCTAAGAATTTTTATGACCACCAGCTGTGTGGCTCCAGAGTGGTAATTATAGAGAAGTAAATAGGGGGACAGTGGCAATCATTATTTTTAGCTGGGCCCTTATCACAGTTCTAACCTCACACCCCTTTTTATTAATTTGTAAGGGCAGTTTCAATTACATGAGACACATGAGACGAAGCTGAGCTTGTGAACGCAAGTTGGGTGGGCTTGCAGAGAAACTGCAGGGAAAAGCTAGTAAGTTTAGATATAATTCTGGGGATTTGCATGAGGCATTTTTCTAGTTACTCTTGAAAATCCATCTCTTTTACAGCCCTAAGTAAACCCTGGATCTTAGAACCTAGACCTTAATCAGGGAACTTCACCCATTCACTTAGTTAACAACTATTTATGACTATATGTTAAGTACACTGCTAGGTCAGCTGGGAACATGAATGAATGCCACAATTCTCCTCTCTTGGAACATACATTCTAGGTTGGAGAGAGACAGTAAATGAGTGGAAAAAAGGGAGAAAATCACTGTAAAATAATAAATGCTATGAAGGAAGGAATTGTATGCTAGAGAGCGTTTAATGGAGAGTCTTGACCTTCCTGTATTGCTCCAAGGGGAAGATTATGTCTTTTGCAGATAATAAGGATGGAGATGATGACCCAGTTACTTTCTCTAGACTATGGAGTGATTCCTCTTTAAGTGTTGATACCAGCTTGAGTCTTTCCTCTTAGGTTGTGCAACTGGACTAGCAAAGTGATCTCTTGCTGTTCTTATTTTAGTTATGAATAATGATGTTGCTAGGGCCTGAGTCTCCAATAAATATTACAAATTACTATTTTTATCTTTATTGTCAGAAAACACAGCTTTGCAAACTGATTTGCTCACAGACTGCTGCCCCCTGCCCCCCAAACTCTCAGCACCTCATGGGTCTGGTGTTTGCCAGAACACATTTTGGGAAACAGTGTTTTAGAAAATGCAGTTTGGATTGTCCCATGTTATGAATTTCTGAATTAAGTATGTTGTTGAAGAGAAATAATTCAGATAAGATATCCACACATGTTGGCTATCCTAGGTTTTTGAATACCTGGTTCAGGTCACTATTTGTGGCTCATTCTCTAGGTCTCAGGCATCTGCCTATGATTCCTTGAGATTTAGAACCTACCTCCATCCTCCATTAGTCAATGTTGCAAAAAAATAAATAAATAAAAAATACTATGCCCCCCAACAAAACAAAAACAACAGGTATTTGATGGCAAACTTGTAAGTAAATTCCATTGTAAAAGTGCAAAATAAATAGATACAATGTAGCTTTGTTTCTAAAGTGTACAAAAGGATAAAAGGAATTCCTTGGGGGAAATATTGTACATGTCAAAAAATGTACTCTTTCTCTTTTCCATCCGTAGACTATTGTAGTTCTTAAAAGATTTTTTAAAAAAATTTAAAACAAGAATGCAATTTTTCTTTGCTTGAAATATTTAAACATAAGGTGTAAAAGGAGTTGACTGGCATATCCATTTGGCTTTATGTCTATCAGTAGAGAACTCAATGGCCTGAGTCCCCTTCATTGCTCTGGGGGCCTAGTTTTTGTCCAGTGTCTCCTGACCATCTCCAACTATGGCCTATGGCACTAATCTGTTGGTGTCAAATTTGTCATAGAACCTTGAGAGTAAGTCTGAAGAAAAATTGTGTTGCTCTAGAAACTGATTTTCAGTGAAGTTTTTTTTTTTTTAATATATATTTTTTTGTCCTTGAGAAACATTGGGAATTATGCCCAAAGACAGTGTACATACACATGCTGAAGGATGATTGAATCATTATATTGAGGAAACCTCTCCTACCTCCTACTTCTCTGTGGTCAGGTAACACTGTACCTTATAGCTAACTGATAAAAAGCAAGAGATGCCCAGTTACTGCGTGGAGGTCAGAAGGTGTCTGGGTTTCAGAACAGTGAATTTTGCCTCAAGAATTTCAAATACATTCTGGAAGATGATGCTTCCTTACAACTCAGGCACCAAGCAATAATACAAAAAGAAATGACTTTTCATACCTTCCCCACATTTGTTGGCTCTCTAATTTGGGGGCTCATCCTTCAACTGTGGAAATAGTTCTTAAACATTAGTGCATGTTAGAATCAGTGGCAGAGCTTGTTAAAAAGGCAAATATTGCTATTTGTAGGGTAATGAAAGAATATATAACTAAAGCAACAGAGCTGCTATTCACCACTTAGCAATACTAGTACTAGTGTTTGGAAAGTACTTTATAATGTCAATGGTGCTTTTGCTCAGTTTGTATATTTTCTTATTCTAGCATCCATGGGCTATTTATTGCTCAAGTGCCTGTTGGGTTATTAAACCCAATATCAAAACTTCCTTCATCATTTTCCCCTCTTTTGTAATTATGGGAAAGAATGTTTCGTAAACATACTCTAGTAATTATCCCTTTCCTACCTCTGGCCTCTTCCCACTCAAGTCCTTCCTCTCCATAATTTCTGCTTATTTGTTCATTCAGTCAGTTAAAGAACATTTATTGTCTACAAAGAATCAGGCACTGTGTGGTACTATTATGTTATCTTGAGTTGTCACAAAATTCTGGAAGGTAGATACTACTATAGATAAAAGCAGGGAGACTGAGAGGTGAAGGAAGCTGGTGTTTCACACAGCCGACTGTGGGAGACCGAGGATTTGGACTCCACACAAACAAACTTCTTCGTTTTGCAGCTTCTCTCTAGCTAGAGAGGAGTTTTGCTGGTGACACTGCCAGCCCTACCCTGAACACCCACTGTGACAGTTTACCAGTGCCCCAGAGAAAAAAAGAGAAGAGAAGAAAGCACAGAGGAAACACCCAACTTTATGAATGAATAAAAGTTGAAAATAACCTTAGAGAATCTAATGGGGGAAAACTTGGTTTTGATCATTGATAGAGCATCTGAGGTGACTTTTATTTTGATATTGCTGCATTTACATACAGAGCATAGAGAACGTCCATCCTCTTTGACTGGAGATAAAAAAAAATGATAAGGCCTCTAAGAAGAACAAGTTCATGGTGGATTTTACGTGATTTGGGCAGTTTTTGTCAAAGTTTACAGAGGTGCACATCAATCTCTTGAGTCTTAGTAAGCAGATTCTGATGCTGTGGCTCTGGGCTGGGCCTGAGAAACTGTATTTCTAACAAGTTCCTGTACCACACTTTGAGCAGGAAGGATGTCATGCGACTGGAAACCAATTGCACCCTGACATGGCCCGGGATGTGGGGGTGCTGTTGGAGGCTGACTGCTGTGGTCCCAGGGTAAACTGGATGTTGATTTAGGGGACTTGGACTTGAAGCCAACTCTACCACTTTCTATAATAGCTTTCATCAAGCCACTTAAACTTTCCAAGCCCTTTTCTTTCCTCAAGAGTGAGGACAATAGTGCCCGTGTTACTGGCATATTGAGAAGATTAAAAAGAGACAATGTTATGGGAAAGCACTTTGCAAACTATCAAGTGTGAGATTGTAATCTGGTTTAGTCTGTGCACTCAGCTGTCATTGCTGAGTGGGAGAGGGCTGTTATTGGACCTTGGCTGGCCAATTAATTCTCTAAATTTGAGAACAGGAGATGAAGGGTCTCTGAAATATGGTAGGAGAAGGAAAGGGGGAACGGACCTCGGTGGGTGCTAGTGTCGGAGGAGAAGTGGATATTCACAAGAAGTATGGTGAGTCTGAAAACCCGGGGACAGAACAGAATATGCACTCACTGGACATATTTTTCAAGCATGTATTGAAGTAGGGTGATATTAGGAGAGAACCATATTAAGTGCATGGAGTATAATTCGTTATCTCTGAAAAACATATTAAAAAGAAATGTGGTTCCATTTCCAGTAGTACAGACAAACCAGATGACCTGAAACCCTCCTGCTAAAAACACTTGGAAATGCTGGGTAGACTGTAATGAACATTCTTTTCAATGTGTATTTGAGCTCTTGAGAAAGTAAAGGAAATAGGGATACAAAATAAATAGCAATCAAAAAATTAAAGTAGTGACAGGCAGCTGTTGTTTGGGCTACCTTTTATTTTTAAAACTTGTTTTAGAAACTGGGGAGTTTGGGTTTAATAGCCTTGCTGGGTCTTAGATAAGGCACAGGCTGTCAAGAGGTGAGTTGTGGGAACTGACGTCCCTCCCCACCTGTGCCTAAAGCTGACACCTTTCGATTTCTGTTCCCAACTTCTGATTGCTTTGACTCTCTCCTTTCACCCTTTCTGCAATTT